TATAAATTGCTTTGGGTAGTATGGACATTTTAATGATATTAATTCTTCCAATCCATGAGCATGGTATATTCTTCCACTTGTTTATGTCTTCCTCTACTTTTCTCAGTGTACCATAGTTTTCCGAGTACAGGTCTTTTACATCCTTAGTTAAGTTATTCCTAGGTATTTTATTTTTTTACTTGCAATGGTAAATGGTATTGTTTTTTTAGTTTCTCTCTCTGAAATATCATTGTTGGTGTATAAGAATGCCATTGATTTCTAGATGTTGATTTTGTATCCAGCTGCCTTGCCAAATTCATTTATCAAATCTAGTAGTACTTTGATGGAGTCTTTAGGGTTTTCTATGTACAATATCATGTCATCTGCAAATAATGACAGTTTTACTTCCTCCTTTCCAATTTGGACACTTTTCATGTTTTCTTCCTGTCTGATGGCTGTGGCAAGGACTTCCAGTACTATGTTGAATAAGAGTGTTGAAAGTGGGCACTCCTGTCTTGTTCCTGATTTAAGGAAAATGGTTTTAGTTTTTCACCATTGAGTATGATGTTGGCCGTAGGTTTGTCATATATGGCCTTTATTATATTGAGGTATGATCCCTCTATTTCCACTGGGCTAAGAGATTTTATTAGAAATGGGTGCTAGATTTTGTCAAATGCTTTTTCTGCATCTATTGATATGATCATATGATATTTGTCCTTCATTTTGTTTATGTGATGTAACATATTTATTGATTTGCGGATGTTATACCAGCCTTGCATCCCTGGAATAAATCCCACTTGGTTGTGATGTATGATCTTTTAAATGTATTGCTGGATCCAGTTTGCTAGTATTTTAGTGAGGATTTTAGCATCTATGTTCATCAGGGATACTGACTTGTAATTTTCTTCTTTGTAGTGTCTTTATCTGGTTTTGGGATTACAATGATACTTGTCTCATAAAAAGAGTTTGGGAGTTTTCCCTCCTCTTGGATTTTCTCGAATTGTTTGAACAGAATAGGTGTTAATTCTTCTTTGAATGTTTGATTAAACTCGTCTGTAAATCCATCTAGTCAGGGCTTTTGTTTGCTGGGAGTTTTATTATTACTGCTTCAATTTCATTAATTGTTATCAGCCTATTCAGGTTTTCTGCCTCTTCTTGATTCAGCTTTGGAAGGTTGTATGCTTTTAGGAACTTGTCCATTTCACCCATGTTGTCCAAATTGTTGGCATATACTTGCTCATAGTATTTTCTTACACTCCTTTGTATTTTTGTTGGGTCGGTTGTTATATTGCCTCTTTCATTTCTGATTTTATTTATTTGGGTCTTCTCTCTTTGTTTCTTGATGAGTCTGGTGAAAGGTGCATCAACCTTTTTTATCTTTTCAAAAAGCCACCTCTTGATTTCATTGAATTTTGTATTGTTTTTTTAGTCTCTATGTCATTAATTTCTGCTCTGATCTTTATTATTCCCTTCCTTCTGCTTCCTTGGGGATTTTCTTGGTGTTTTCATTCCAGTTCTTTTAATCGTTGTGCTAGATGGTTCATTAGAGTTTTTCTTATTTCTTGAGATAGCCCTGTAATGCTATGAATTTTCCTCTCAGAACTGCTTTCGCTGTGTCCATAGATTTTGGGTGGTTGTCTGGTCATTTTCATTTTTTTCATAAAGTGTTTGATTTTTTCCTTGATCTCACTGGTAACCCATTCATTGTTTAATAGCATGCTATTTAGCTTCTATGTGTTTGAATATTTTAGAGGTTTATTTTTATAGTGCTCAATTTCAAGAAGATGCTTGATATGATTTCAATCTTCTTGTATTTGTGAGACTTGCCTTGTGCCTTAATATGTGGTCTATTTTTGAGAATGTCCCTTATTCACTTGAGAAGATTGTGTATTCTGCTGTTTTAGAATGAAATGTTCTGTAAATGTCAATTAAATCCATTAGGTGTAATGGGTCATTTAAGGTCTGTGTTTCCCCGTGATTTTTGTCTTGATGATCTGTCCAGTGCTGACAGTGGGGTGTTAG